CCCTGTCCCTGTGTCCCCTGACCCTGTGGCTGTCCCTGACGCTGTCCCTTGTCACTGACACTGTCCCTTGTCCCCAGTACTACTACTCGGTGCGGCTGTTCGCCGGGCAGGAGCCGGGCAGTGCCTGGGTGGGCTGGGTCACCTGTCCCTGTCCCCATGTCCCTGTCCCCTGACCCTGTCCCTGTGTCCCCTGACCCTGTCCCCTGTCCCCGTGTCACTGACACTGTCCCTTGTCCCCAGTACTACTACTCGGTGCGGCTGTTCGCGGGGCAGGAGCCGGGCAGTGCCTGGGTGGGCTGGGTCACCTGTCCCTGTCCCCGTGTCCCTGTCCCTGTGTCCCTACACTGTCCCTGACACTGTCCCCATGTCCCTTGTCCCCAGTACTACTACTCGGTGCGGCTGTTTGCGGGGCAGGAGCCGGGCAGTGCCTGGGTGGGCTGGGTCACCCCCCACTTCCACCAGCACGACCCCGACTTCGAGCTGAGCCGCGTGCGCAGCGTCACCGTCACCATGGGCGACGACCGCGGCAACGTGCACGACAGGTACCCCACGGGGACCCCAGAGGGACCCCCAAAGGGACCCCAGAGAGATCCCAAAGGGACCCCAAAGAGACCTCAAAGAGATCCCAAAGGGACTCCAAAGAGATCCCAAAGGGACCCCAAAAGGGACTCCAAAGAGATCCCAAAAGGGACCCGAAAGAGACCCCAAAAGGGACCCATAAATGGGACCCCAAAGAGATCCCAAAGGGACTCCTAAACGGGATCCCAGAGGGACCCCAGAGGAGCCCCAAAAGGGACCCATAAATGGGACCCCAGAGGGACCTCAAAGACACCCCAAAAGGGACCCCAAAGAGACCCCAAAGAGATCCCAAAGGGACTCCTAAATGGGATCCCAGAGGGACCCCAAAGAGACCCCAAAAGGGACCCCAAAGAGATCCCAAAGGGACTCCTAAAGGGAAACCCAAAGGGACCCCAAAGAGATCCCAAACAGGGCAACTGCCCCATGGTCTGGGGGGATTTTGGGGGGGTTTTGGGGGTCTCACCCCCTTTTTCTCCCCCAGCATCAAGCGCAGAAACTGCCCCATGATCTGGGGGTATTTTGGGGGTGTTTTGGGGGTCTCACCCCCTTTTTCCCCCCCAGCATCAAGTACAGAAACTGCCCCATGATCTGGGGGTATTTTGGGGGTGTTTTGGGGGTCTCACCCCCTTTTTCCCCCCCAGCATCAAGCGCAGCAACTGCTACATGGTGTGGGGGGGGGAGTTTGCGACCCCCACCCAGCAGGCCAGGGTGTCCCACACCGACCTGGTCATCGGCTGCCTGGTGGACCTGGCCACGGGGCTCATGACCTTCACAGCCAACGGCAAAGAGATCAACACCTTCTTCCAGGTGGGCTGAGACCCCTCCCCTGACCCCGCCCAGGTGAGGTTTGGGGGTCCCAAGCCCACCCCGGGGGTCTCACAGCAGCGCTGTCCCCGCAGGTGGAGCCCAACACCAAACTGTTCCCGGCGGTGTTCGTGCAGCCCACCACCCAAAATGTGCTCCAGTTCGAGCTGGGCAAGCTCAAGGTGAGGACTGGGACCCCCACCAGGTGGGTGGTGGGGTATGAGACCCCCCCAAAACCCCCCAAAATCCCCAGGTCACCATGAACACCACCACATACAGAACCCCTGAGACCCCCCAAAACCCCCCAAAATCCCCAGGTCATCATGACCACCACCACACACAGAACCCCTGAGACCCCCCAAAACCCCCCAAAATCCCGAGGTCACCATGAACACCACCACCACGGTATGAGACCCCCGAGACTGCCCCAAAACCTCCAGATCATCTTGAATACCACCGTGGTACAGACCCTTGAGACCCCCCCCTAAAATCCCCCAAACCCTCAGATCATCATAAATACCACCAGGACCCCTGAGAGCCCCCAAAACCCCCCACCCACACCCCAAACTCCCCCCCCCGCCCCCCCAAAACCCCCCAAACCCCCGGGCCT